AATTACAGATGGCTACTAACCTGGAGGACTGGCATTCCACATCATTTATACGATCTCCACTTTTTTTGTCTTTGGCAATGTCAAGTCCATTTCCATTGCAAAACTTGTTGTGCCCAAACTTAGATTCCTCGGCTGCTGGTGGGCTGCACATTTCTGCTTCAGAATTCCAAGGGGCTTGCAAAATAATATCTATACAATTGAGTTAAATTACTGAAAAACAGAGCATATTCACTTTGCAAAGTGAATGCTTACTTTGCAAAGGAAGTTTTCACTTATCTTAGTAAATTTGGTGGAATACACATGCAAAAAATAAATAAAAAACGGAATTTTTGCTTGCTTACTTGCACATGATTGAATGATAGAAGTCATTAGCATTTTACCTCATTCACTAAGCTAGGAGAAACTTTCTACACTCCTTTATTAAACCAGTTGCATTTTTTTTTCAGCTTTACCCATGAATCTTATAGCACACAATTATTTGTAATGGCTGCTAATGGACTGCTAAAATATTAAGAAAATATTAAGAAAAAGGAGTATATATGTGACGTTTGCAAAATAATAACTGCTCTTGGCGCTATTAATGCAAAAGAAAATTTGCCTAAGAGCAACACAACAACCCTCGCCACCTCAGCCCAGATCACATAATGGTTAGCAATTTATCCATAGGACAAGTGTGAGCTTAATTATACTGTATATAGGGTGAGTTAGTCTTAAGTTTGTTGAGCTTTATGTGTTTATAGATATACAGGTGACATGATTTTTGTCAATGTTTTAAAATTCTGTTATTTGCAGAAATGAACAAAATATTTTAATCAAATACAGCATATGTGAAGGCAACCATATTGGTACCATAATACCAATATTAGCTATTTAATATTCAGTTTCTGCTTCCAGTTTTGTAGTGATGCACAGTGGTTGTAACTGTTCCTCTGCTTTAATGTAAGTTTACCGGTCAGATCCACCCGAATGAAAACAAAACATTATCTACAGTATGTGGCTGATGGTTTATCTCAACATTTGTTATTCAAGGAGGCTGAATATACTGTAAAAGACATTGCCACTAGAGGTACATGCTGCAAATCTGTATTTGTAATACAATTGTGTAAATATGGTACAGCAACCATGTTAAATATGAAAGTGACATAAAATATTACTAAAACATAACCATTACAATAACAAATTCAATGTGTGTTTGGTGAAAACATACCATAATTCCCTTTTTAATGTATGTCCAGGCAATTTTTTAAAAAATGTGGAAGGAAATTAGAGAGGAAAACGTTTAGAACTTATATCAATTTTTCAATGCTATCTGGGATAGATTTCCTGCGACAATTGTTTCACCAGACAGAAAATTGAGGAAAATCTGCAAATAGAAACACAGACAGCAAAAAAAAAAAGGTGGCAAGGCTTCTATCCTCAGCTCTACTATAAAATGTATTTTATCTCTGTCTTTGTTGTGTTTGGAGATTTGTGCACTTCTTGTCTTACTATTAGAAAGAAATCCCTAATCACTGTTAGTAAGAAAACCCAACAGGTGTTCTAATCTTTCCCCACTCTATCTAAAAATAAAATAAAAAAATTGGGCTGGACATAACCTTTAAAAAAATTTCTGCTCCAGGTTAAATTCTGTTAGAGATATTTGCTGATACCTAAACATCAAAATGTTATTTTACCATAGAGAAGTTCTTTTTGAACTTGTCTCAAGTGCCCTCTTGGTACAACTAAAAATGTGAAATCCTTTGTGTTTGCCCTAAAATAATAATGTACAGTGATAAATAACACAGTGTTGCTCAATTAGGAGTTGTGACCTATGGATAAAAACCTAAAATATCTAAAACTATTTCACAAACATCCAATATATACATTCATATGTAAAGACAAATAATAAAATACTATGTAAACAAAGTGCCCATGAGTGTGATACACTTGTTTAGATATTTTAGGTTTTTAAATGGTTAATAAATTATACTATAAAACAGAATATACTACTGCTACTGTACATTATACTAATAAGGAACTCAGTATGGCATCTAGACTGTAGAACATGTAGTCATATCCAGAGACTAGTTGTCCCATGTTGCACCAGATATTACTACTACAGATATCTGTGGGATATTTTAAAGCTTGATAGAGTAGGGACATATTTTGTTTTTCCTGCTGTAGAGATAAATTAGCAGCTGCCTAAATGGGTTTTTGTTTTCCCTTATCTTAGACAACAGTAGTAAAATTATTAGGATAAGTTGAACTTCTTTTTTTCCCTCATTTACTATGTTATTGGTAATAAAATAGATGTAACACAGGTGTCAGCCATAAAAGTCAAGTGAGGCCTGGTGGCAAAAGGCTTGCTCAATTTTTGGTATAATATATACAAATGTTGGTGCACATGTAGACTTTTTCATCACCATCACCAGACATATCTAAATAAAGCATGGTCCTGGCCCTGGGCTTTTTGCCCAGGCAAGAATAACCACCCACTCAAACCTCCCCTGGGATACAGACATCATGCACCCCAGAAGGCTTTGGGTCAATCCCTGCATTATGCGTCGTCGGCAGGCCAGCTCAAAGAACCTGGAAAAGGCAGGCTGACTGGTGATGAGGTCAGAAGAGAAGATGGTGGCATGGAACCTGCAGTGCTGGAAAGGAGTAGTGGTTTAAACTAGACAATTGTCAAGGTAAGAGGGTTAGCTGGTTAGTTAGTTAGTTAGTTAGTGTAAGTTTCTCTTTAAGTAATAGCAGATTAAAAGTGCAGGTGCATAACAAAAGCAATACAATGTGCTCCCCATCTTGACATAGACTGTTATCTGATTATCAATAGGATATCTGCCAAGATGATAAATGCTTCAAATATACAGAATGCTTTATTTTTGTTTTGTTTTTACAGTACTACACGATACACAACAAACAGTAACAAAATAGATAAACAATCATTTAAAAAAATCATGTGAGAAATCAGAGAGTTGGCTAGTGTCAGGAGTTTCTGAAGTGGACTTGAAAAGCTACAGTATGTAGTCATTAGAATACAATGCATTGTATCCCTAGAATTTCTTCAAGCAGATATGTTATAGTGAGTCGGCAGCTAAGGTTGACAACATTCAACAAACACTTATACTGAGCCGATCTTGGAGGAAGTGGAAGCTGGGATGTTCAGAGAGAAGGGACTGATATGTTAGAGCATAGTTGGAAATGCTCTGTAGTCTGTAAAAGTTCACTATATACTATTAATCACATGCCTACCACATAGTACATTTCTGATGTTTTTATAATACGATATTGTGTCATAAGTAAAGAGGTAGTATGGCATTTCATCACTTTATACCTATTAGAGATTATAAACTATCATATTTAATTAAATTATATCTTCTCTCTTACCTAATTTCTGTGAAGCTTTATATTTAGGTAGTGTTTGCAATGCTTTGGTTATTTTTTCTTTTTTAAGTAATTGTTAATGTTCCTGTGTTGTTGAACCAGCTGATGTGTCACAATTAGGATTAGCTTTGTTAAAATGTTTTAGGTGACAAAGGAGAGGTGGCTCCTTCTCTCACACCTCAAGACTCTCAAACTAGGTCTGGTAGGGGCAAATGTATCTCTCAGTCTTTGTCTCCATTACAGACTCCATTAAAACTTTATCCTGAACTTTTTTTTTTTTTTTTACTCTAATCAAGGCGCAAATATAATCTGCTATTTGATATGCCTGATATGATTTTATATTGTATGACCACTATAGTTTTCTAGTACTGACACAGCTCTATATTGTAAGGAACATGGAAAGTAGATGATGGGCCTACAGACTTATTTCTTTAATAAGGCAGTGCAAAGAGTGATTATTTTGAACATATTAAAATAATTCATAATAGAGGTGTATCCAAACTTCTTGCAACTCTGATGCAAAATGTGAAATAGGGCCCCCCAAATATTTTAATTAATATTAAAAATAATAATAATAATAATTGGTATATTAATAGATCTTTCATCCAAAATAGCAAATATGTGACCATGAAGTCGTCTTAATGGTTGAAATACAAATGATAATGCTTCCATTGGTATAGGGAGTGGGGAGCAGAGACAGGCTTTGTTGAATCATGTACTGTGCCATAGCAACCAATCAAATGCCAGCTTGTTAGAAAAAGATAATGCAGTCAGAACAAGGAAAGATGACTAGTTGTAAATGTTTACTGTAATTTGTACTGTTATTTGACTTATTATATATATTAATAAATATTAAAGTATTTATTATTTTCAACTTGGGCTGCAGTACATCATTCACATGTATTTTAAAGTTACCTGTGATGGATAGAATAGTGGACACAGGAACTGAAGAGAAACCTATAATAATGTTTCCCATTAGCACTTCTATCTCATGGAAAATGTCTTTAGGATTTTTTAGAGCGAGATGTTATTAAAAAAATTTGTAGAAATATAAATTATTATTATTATTCCATTTTAGTGGGCTAACTTCATAGATGCTCCACATCAAATCATATTATAATTCGCATTTTCCTCATTCATAGCATTCTTTTAAGAGCAATGCTTGCAGTTCATTATTTCATGCTTGAATACACATTTCTCTTTTCTACAAACGATCCACTAATTAACATTAATTTAAAGTTCAATTTTTGTAATATCAGCCTCATAAATAAATCATAAATGAATCTCCAACTTTCAGAAGTAACGGAAAAAAAACTAAAGAGTCATTGCAAAAATACTATGGGTCATATAGATTTTTGAATAATGTAATTGGGCACTTTTAAATTCAGGAAAAATCAGATTTTCAGTGGCTTCCCAAAGTTTGGGTAAGAGTCCTCAAATGTATAAAAGTATTTAGTGGATAAAAAATATAATTTTACTACTTTGATGAACATGGATGATTAAATTGTGTACATCCTAACAACTGGTCATTCCGTTAGTGAAAGTAGGGCCTTGGCTTCATTCAGTAAGTTAAAGCAAGAAAAACAAAAACAGAGCAAAAAATAAATATTGATGGAGTCGGATAATGCAAAAATTTACATATTTTCCATAGATCTTTTAACACTGTGATCTCTTGCTTTTTCTGCTTTCTCTTGATTCAGATATTCCAAGACCTTCATAAGCAAGTCCTCATCTATATACTGCTTGTTCTGTGTGTCATCATTATCCCTGGTCGGCAGCCTTCTGTTACTACTGGAAACTGTCTCTAAATCCTGATAACCACGCATATTCACATATCCTCTCAAAGCATTCTCATATTGCTTTTCTAGCTCCTGAAGATCACCTGGAGAATAAGGAATAGGCATTTTTTTGTTTTGATTGTTACCTAAAAGCTCTGGGTATTTAGCTAGCATCTTTACAACATAATCTGCTAGTTCCTCCTCCTTTTCAGGCCTTGGTTCATACTCCATTTGCCTCTTTTCAGAATCTTTGGGCCAAATAGCTTTGTGTCCCTTGGATTTGCCAAGCATAGGGTAGGGTCTTTGCAATCCATTTTGTTTAAATCGATTTTGTAACTTATCAGCTCCTATAAGATTCACCATATCTTCAACTGTAAGGCCTTCAGGGACATTAGGCAGAACAGGAGATATAGGTTGCCTTACAAAGCCTTGCTTGTTTTTATAGACATTCGTTTTATCAGTGATCTCTGTTATTTCATCCAGGTCTTCAGGAACATCAACTTCTTTTTCAGGTTCTAATCTTCCACCAAACTTCCTGCCATCTTCATCACGCAGTATATCAATAAGATCCTCAGGGGGGATTTGTAAGTTTCTGGATATATCAATCAACTGATAAATAGCTTCAGGGTCAATTTCTTTTCCTGAAAATTTTAATGAGCGCCTATCAGGGTTCTGCTTACCTTTATCCATCCTGTTCATCCACATCTTTAAATATGTGTTCATCAGATTTGATAGATTTTCACTTTCTTGCTCTTTAGTTTCCTTTTCAGGCTCTTCATCCTGCAACCCCAACAACCCAGATCTCTTAATTTCTTCCTCCATATCATCTGTCTTCTCAACCTCCTCTTTACTCTCCTTTAACTCTTCTTGAGTTTGACTTTCAACTTTTTCTTCAATAGGATTCCAATCTTCCCCACCAGCTACATCCTCATAAGCAATGTTGTTGGCTTTATACAAATCGTCTTCATCATCCTTGTAAAGTTTTTGGTCTTCCTCCATTCTATCTCTTTTAGTGTTTGCTTGACCTTTTAATTTCCCCAGTTCCTGGAAGACAGACTGTAAAGTGGCTAGGCTCTGAGGAGTATACTGCCCTTCCACAATTTCATTGGTGCGTTTCAGAGGATTGTCCCGAGAGTAGTCATCATATAACCTTGAAGAAAGCTTTCCAGTTTTAGGTCTCTTCTCAGACCATTTGTTTGAGTCATAGTCTTCAATTAACTCAGGTGGTATGTTCTTGTCCATATATAGATTATTTTTCTCTTGTGGTGAAACCTTTGCCTCTTTTTCAGCTTGCATCAAGGCTTCCAACATTGCTCTCATCCACTCAGACTCATCATCTGTGGTTGGAGATTTGGCAGTGTCTGTTGAAAGGGCTTGGGTGTCCTTCTGCTCTGAGAGGAAGGGTGCCCCTTGGTAAGAGGTATAGTCAGGGAGGTTCTCAGTTCTGCTTGCTTGCTTCCTGAGGTTCTCAATGTACTCCAGTGCCTTCAGCATATCAGGGCTTGGCAACCTTTGCAAAGACCTCATTCTGTATTCTTGGTCCTGTTGTGGCACTTGGTAATATTGAAAGGATGCAGCATCAGAAAAGGACATTAGAATGATCAAAACGCATGAGGATAAGCATCCTGCAAGACAGTAATTCCTCTGAGATGACATGATGGTCAGTTTTTCCTACAAAATAAATTAAGATGAGTACACAGCAAAGAATAAAATATACTGCTTATTTTGCAAAAAAAAAAATAAAACAAATTATTATCCTAATGGGAAAATGTCATTACCTGCACTTTCATACCATTAAAATCACAAGTTAGTAATGACAAATGGACTAATTGATCTGTTTGATTTATTTGTTGATCCAAAGTGCTGTATCAGATACTGTGCTTCATAACATCTAACCATCCATAATTAATCTCTGTCATGCACTGATCTCTGCCTGTGAAAGCTCAGTCTACTTATAGCAACACAGTTAATGTGCTTGTATTTATAGATTGCTGGGTGCTCTAAATAACTTTTGCCTTGGATTTAGGTTTATGTGTGAAGGCTTAAAGAGGAACTACTATATAAATGTAATGCAGAGATGATTGCAGTATTGGCTTTCTCCCACAAAGGCTTTTCATCTTTGCTTAATAACAGGAGCCAGAACCGCCCACGGGCCAGGGGATCATTTGCATGGGGACCAAATTGTAAGGCAGATGATAGCAATAATGCATCTTATGGAGTCGTGTGTTTTTTTTGCAGTGCACTGCATCTTCTGTTGCTGTAACCTAGAATATCAGATTAGCCTGAAATCCAGTTACAGCAAAACAGACCAGATGCCCGTGTTTAGCATTTTGTGATGATGTTTACCCGAGAAATTAACTTCTATCAGTTTAAGCCCCAAATTAAGTTTAAGACCCATGTGACTCTATAGCTATTGAAGAACTTCAATATGAGCCTAAAACCATCAGATCTTGCTGAGACTTGGATTTTTACAAATGCTGTGTACCAGTTGATCAACCTTTTTGTATTAAACAACCTTTCAAATTGTGTAGGATTGTGACTGGTGACTAAAACAAAGGATAATGTATACTGAAACCAAAGTGAAGAGGTTTTATTGTTTATAACAGCCAGACCCCAGCTGTTAATTTACTAGCACAGTTAGGAATACAAAATTAAGCATCTGCCTGTTTTCTGTGGACAACACTATCATTTTAGTTTAATGTATCCTATTTTATAAGGACTGTGCATATCAATAAAATGGTTATCAAAGATAGTCTTCTTGTAATATTTAATGAGATTAATACACAATATGCAGTAACCTATAGACACCAATCAGAGTTCATATTTTACTAAACTAATCTGATTTGGAATCTGATAAACTACCATAGGCTGCTCCACCTTGCACACCATCACTGCTTTGTTCTGTATTACTAAATTAACATTTGTTCAAGTTTTTTATATTTATTTCCAGTACTGAGAGGTTGTCTGTGACACTGTTGCATGAGCACCTAAACTTGATAGACTAAATAAACCATATGCATTGACATCTGCCATGATCCTACTATATTATATTATATTATATTGCTATCTATGAAGGGATGGTAAATTAATAAAACAAATATTATTAAAGCACATGTTTGTGCTTTCAAATAATTGTGTATTTTACATAAGAATGAAAGTGCTGTAAATGTTTTCCATTGCATATATAAGTAAGACTATGTCATGAGTGAGATATTGAAAACCTGTTGCTATCCATAATCATGAACAACAGAATTTTGCTGGATTCATCCCTGACATAAAAAATGTAAGCAATCTGGCATAATGACCACTGCTATGGAAACAGCTAAATATTCATTTGCATGCTCTAATTAAGTTAGAGCTTCATATATCTCTGTAGTCTCTGTAGTCTGTACCCACGTATGCAGATTTTGAATTATACAGAAGGTAGAAAATATGTACAGTTTGTATGCTGTCATAAGGAAACAATTGCTGGAATTTTACAAATCTATCTGTTATCTGCAATAATGAATGGTGATTATATCACTGCTGCTCAATGCCTCCAGAGTATTTTAATTAGGGCCTGTGCTTAATCTCATTCATTATTTGACAGTTTAAATTTAGTGTTTGTACTGAGTCTGATGAATAACGCTCTAGTGTAGAGATGTCTAGTCTATCACACAAGCAGATTGCTATTGTCTAATCTTCTACTCAGTATCATGTACAGCATAGCAACAGGCAACCCATCGAACACCTCCCACGCTTATCATATCATAACTAAGTTAAGAAAAATAAAGAAACAGAACATAATATTCAAAATGACAGATGGGGAAACAAATGGTACAAAGAGAGAAAGAGAAAACGAGGGAGACGACTATACATACCTATTCACAAATGGACACATGGAAAAAAATAAATCTCTGTCTTGTTTTTTTCTCTACCCAAACACACACACACACATTGCAAAATAAAGAATCACATTGCTATTGTAGACAAACTAATGAATGCATGCCACTTACATAAATCTAAGAGAACCCTTTCTCTTATATATAAATGGAAGGATGGATGGGTAGAGAGATGGTTACACAGACTTTAATCTTGTAGAGATCAGTTCAGCAAAGTTTTATATAACAGTGCCGTCTGCAGAAAACAGCTATCTGGCACATAGCTACAAATGATTAAATAATCCAACACCACCCTACCTGTGTGCTTCAGTCAGAGGGATGCAGGCTGATCATATCTCCCTCCTAGGATGGAGATACTTGTTTCAGCACCAGAACAGCTCCCAGTGCTTAATAGGGCGCGTCATGTGACACACGTGACGTCACTCTGTGTGCACAGAACAGCTAGGGAGTGAGAATCAAGCAGCGTTAACTCTTTCCTGAACTCCTTGTAGGTAATGAGAACAGAGCAGCATTTTTTTCACAAGGTGCACCCACAACACGATAACTGCACAGTGCAGCATAGACTGTCAGTTCCACTCATTTGCATTCTCAGGCTAGATTTTTCAATTGGTTTTGATGCACCGTGAGTGCTCCAGTTGCTGTATGTCTGTGTCTCATAGTTGGGTGGTGTATGGGTTAAACCAGTGTTCCAATACTGCATAATGAATGTGGGCATGATGAAGTGCTTTCTTTTTCCCATGATCTGGTGGAAAGCAGCACAAAGCACAGAAATAGTCTAACATTTTTTAGATCGTAAGCTCTCGTGAGCAAGGTCCTCCTAACCCTCTGGTATTGAATTGTACTGTCTCCCTTTATTTTGTAAATTACTGAGCAAAACTGCTGGCACTAAATAAATTCTGTAATGTAATAATAACATCACCCCTGGTGATACTCCAGTATTCCTTTCTGCTGTATCCCTATGAAGTCCAACACAGGCAATATATATTTGAATTCAGCATTATCCACCGTAGCCTCTAGTAGATGTCATGTTTTTCCTGTTCACTGCTTAAAGCTGAATGAATTACCTGTTGGTCACCATAAGTAACTGCAGGTAATTCAAATTCCAGGATATTCCTGTCTCAGAAGGGTCCTATAGGAAAGTGTATTGGTTGCCTGTAGAAGCCAGACCTCTTAAAGTTTATTTCCACTTCTGTACCCAAATTAGGATAACACTGACTTTATATTTGTAATATGTTCCCATTAACATAGCATAACATAAGAAAATATATCTCCTAGATTGTAAGCTCCAAGGAGCAGGGCCCTCCTTTCCCTCTTGTATTGAACTATATTTTTGCTGTATTGTCTCCCGTTATATTGTAAAGTGCTGAGCAAACTGTTGGCACTATATAAATCCTGTAAAATAATAATAATAATTTAAACATTGCTGGTTACCTCTTTAAGTGCTCTTTACTTCCTTAAAAATCCTTACATGCTCTCCCTGCTTTGTAATATTTAGAAGGGGGCTGTTGAGATAATAATTAACGGAATTAACTCTGTCTGTGCTGTGCTTCATTATCAGCTGTAAACTGTCCTAACAATGTATTCAAAATGTATAAACCCCACTTTGCATTGTATTTTAATGAGGTATAGCTCACTCTGTGTGAGAACAAAGACATGCTCCAGAAATTCTTGGAATCTTCTCCTTAGAAACATCTAAATGGGTACACATAAAAACATATAGTGGGAATTTCTCAACGTTGACTGCAAAAGTGGAAATACCCTTTAAAACTCTCAAAAAAAAAAAAAAAAAAAAAAACAGTAAGAAAGCTCAAGTGATATTTTGCCCAATATGTAGATTCAATGGAGTTTCATTTGCAAAAATAGTTCCACAACTGATAAACTGGTAGATAATAATAAAAATGTTGGAATACAATGTTCATGTATTTTTGTGCTATAACTATTGTATATCAATATTCAGTAAAGATATATTCTTCAACCAGTTGATGGCAGCATTTATAAGTTGGTGGCTGATCTTTATGATAAACTCTATGTCTTTTCTCTGTAATAAAGTTCCTGTTTCCTGTTTGCAGAGAAGCAGCAGATAAACACATGTGGATAGTGCAGTCTGTTCTGTAGTATATACAGAATCTCTAACAAAAAAGATCAACTGAGGGTGTTGTGATAAGACTTTCAAAGCTACTGGGGATTGTATCCCATTATTAGGGCAGGTGCCATCACACTAAAGAAAATGGTGAAGAAAAGACAACACCAGCAGTATATCTACTTTAAAATACTCAGTGCTTTGTTGCCATATAAAAATATGTATCAAAAAGTCATGCACCAACTTTTAAAAGTAAAACTGACAATGTATATTGAGTTGTCAGTATTACTTATTGAGTGAATGTGAACGTCGTTTGACATATACTTGTTTTAATGGAAATCTATGTTCAAAGCATACCCTTTCATTTTAGAACACCAGCTTGTATTATGAATGGAAATAATAGCTACTTTTGACAATATAAGCTTGCATGAAAAATCTCCTTTTGTGTAGGGTGTACTGAATGTCTGTTGGCCGTCTCTTTCCACAACTTTCTGGATTCCCATGCAGCTTGTTACTTTCCATTTCTAAGCTCTACATATCCTGTGGAACCTTGCTGCATGCAAGCAGTAATTCTTGTACTGACTCCGGCTCCTGAAACTCCTTCTCCCAGCACCTCTGTAGTTCAAAAGGCAGGCTCTGTGCAATGTGTGACACATCATTGCCTACTCACAGGGCATAGTGACTACATGCCCAGG